TATGCCTCTGCATACTCATAGCTTAGTTCCCACTTATAAGTGAGAATATATAATATTTTGTTTTTTACTCCTGTGTTACTTCATTTAGAATAATGGCCTCCAGCTCCATTGAAGTTGCTGCAAAAGACATTATTTCATTCTTTTAATGGCTGAGTAGTAGTCCATATGTGTATATAACACATTTTTTTATCCACTCAATAGTCAATGAGCACTTAACTTCGTTCCGCATCTTTGTAATTGTGAATTGTGCTGCATTTGCAAATGTCTTTTTCATATAATGACTTCTTTTCTTTTGAGTACTCAGTAGTGGGATTGCTGGATTGAATGGTAGATCTACTTATAGCTCTTTAAGGACTCTCCATGCTACTTTCCATAAAGGTTGTACTAATTTACACTCTCACCAGCAGTTTATAAGCATTCACTTTTCCCACATCCATGGCAACATCCATTGTTTTTCTGACTGTGTAATAATTGTCTTACTTGCCCGAGTAAGGTGGTATCTCACTGTAGTTTTAATTTGCATTCCCTAATGATTAGTGATGTTGAGCTTCTTTTCATATGTGTGTTGGTCATTTGTGTATCTTCTTTTGAGAAATGTCTATTCATTTCCTATGCTCACTTATTAAAGGAATTATTTGATTTTTTTCTTGGTGTTTGAGTTCCTTATAGATTCTGGATGCTAGTTCTTTGTCAGATGCATAGATTGCAAATATTTTCTCCTATTCTATGGGTTGTCTGTTTACTCTGGTGAGTATTTCTTGTGCTGTGCAGAAGCTTTTTCATTTAATTAGGTCTCATTTATTTCTTTTTGTTTTTGTTGCATTTACTTTGGAGGGTTTAGTCATGAATTCTTTACCTAGGCTGACATCTAAAATAGTTTTTCCAACATTGTCTTCTAGAAATTTTATGGTTTCAGACCTTATGTTTAAGTCTTTGATCCATCTTAATTTTTTTTATATGGTGAGAAATAAGGATGCAGTTTTATTCTTCTATGTGTGGCTTGCCAGTTATCCCAGCACCATTTATTAAATAGAGTGTCCCTTCTCCAATTTGTGTTTTCATATGCTTTGTCAAAGATCAATTAGTTGTATGATTTTTATTTATTGCTTTTGATTGTTTTGGTTATTCTGACTCTTTTTTCATTTCATATAAATTTTAGGATTTTCTAATTCTGTGGCTACTAATGTTGGTATTTTGATGGGAATTGCATTAAATATGTAAATTGCTTTGGGTAGAATGGTCATTTTCACAATACTCATTCTTCTAATCCATGAGCATGAGTCATTCCATCTGTTTATGCCATCTGAGATTTCTTACAGCATTTTTTTTTTTTTTAGCTCTCTTGTTAGAGATCTTTCACCTGTTTGGCTATTTCCAGGTATTCTATATTCTTTACAGCTGTAGTAAAATATATTGAGTTCTTGATTTTATTCTCAGCTTGGTTGTTGTCGATATATAGCAGTGTTACTAATTTGTGTATGTTGACTGTGTAACCTGAGACTTCATTAAATTTGTTTTTCAAATCTAAGAATCTTTTGGAAGAGTCTTTAGAATTTTCTAGATATACAGTCATATCATCTGTAAACGGCAGTAGTTTGACTTTCTCTTTTTCAATTCGGATGCCCTATTTCTTTTTTTTCTTGCTTAATTGCTTTCTTTAGTACTTCCAGTACTATGTTGAATAGAAATGGTAAAAGTGGGTATTTTTGTCTTTTCTGGTTCTCAGAGAAAATTATTTCAACTTTTCCCATTCAGTATGATGTTGATTGTGAGTCTGTCATATATGGATTTTATTATTTTAAGATAGGTTCCTTCTATGTCTAGTTTGTTGAGTTTTTTTTTTTTTTTCATAAAGGAGAGCTAAAATTTGTCAATCACTTCTTCTGCATCTATCGAGATGATCATATGGTTTTTGTTTATAATTCTGATGATGTGATGTATCACATTTTTTAACTTGCATATACTAAACCACCTCTGCATCCCTTGGACAAAACTCACTAGATGATTTTGAATTATCTTTTTGATGTGCTGCTGGATTCAGTTAGCTAATATTTTCCTGAGGTTGTTTGCCTCTATGTTCATCACATAAATCGGTCTGTAGTTTTATTTTTTGTGTCATTCCTGGTTTTGGTATCAGAGTGATACTAGCTTCATAAAATGGTTTAGGGATGATGTCTTCTTTTTCAATCTTTTGAAATAGTTTCAGTAGGATTGCTAGTAATTCTTTAAATGTCTGGTAGAATTCACTTGTGAATTTATGTGGTCCCAGGCTCTTATTAATTGGCAATTTTTAAATTACTGACTCAGGTTTGCTGCCTCTTATTGATCTGTTCAAAGTTTCTATTTATTCCTGATTTAATCTGAGAGGGTTGTATATTTCCAGGAATTCGTCCATTTCCTCTAGGTTTTCTCGTTTGTATGCAAAAAGGTGTTCCATAGTGGTCTCAAATGATCTTTTGTATTTCCGTGGTGTTGATTGTAATGTCTCCAGTTTCATTTCCAGTTGAGTTTATTTGGATCTTCTTTGTTCTTTTCATTGTTAATTTAGCTAATTGTCTATCACATTTGTTTATTTTTTCAAAAAAACATTTTTTCTTTCATGGCTCTTTTGGTTTTGTTTTTTGTGTTTTTTATTGTTGTTGTTGGAATTTCACTTAGTTCTGCTGTGATCCTTGTTATTTCTTTTTTTCTTCTAGCTTTTGTTTTGTTCGTTTTTCCAGTTCCTTGAGGATGACATTAGGTTGTCAATATGTGTTCTTTCAGACTTTCTGATGTAGGCATTTAGCACTATAAACCTCCCTCTTGGCAGTGCTTTTGCTGTATCCCAAAGGTTCTGATGCCTGTGGTGGTGGACAAGGTGGGAAACACTTCCTCTTCTTAAGACCCTTCATATGCACCAGGGCTTTCTAACTGTTGGGGTAGAGCTGAAGACTTTCCCTGCTCAACTCAGCACTTTAACTGTGCCACTGCTGAAAGCAGCTTTCCACCAGCAGAAAGACCTAGTGCTCAAGGCCTGCCACCCAGATTCTTTTGTCCCACATGGTGTTCCCTTCATGTGGTGCACTTCTGCCTCCTCTAGACTACCGTGAGTGTTGTTGCTCCTCTGGGTCTAGCTACCCAGCGAAGCGACAACACTCCAGGCTGGTACTGGGGAATGTTTGCAAGGGGTCCGGTGATATGACCTGTCTGAGGCAATATCTTTCGTGTATGTGGGATTTCTGGTGTTTTGAAATAGTTCTACAATGAACACTTGCTAGTTTTGTCATCAGAAATAAATTCTTTCAGTGTAGTGCAAGTAAGTTCTATGTTTTCAGGCATTTCCTCAGCCTCTGTCCACAGGCTAATCAAAAATGTGAAGGATGTTTGTATTGGCAGATTGAGATATGAATTGTGCATACAAAGGTAGGAAAAGGTGGAAATAATGTTAATCCAAATGCCTTTGTGGAAAAGAAATAAGTTGTGGCATGAGACATGCCTTCAAAGTTAATTAGGTAATTATTAGCCTAAAGAAGCAAAAGGTCAAAGTTGCACAGTTTTAGTGATAAATCGTAAAAGATTCATTAACAGAAAATGAACACAGGAAGTTCCAGAACTAACCATGAGTCCCTGGTTCTTGTAACTAAAAAGGTCACCTTCTGATCATTTTAACTAATATTCCTCCATCCAAAATTATGAGGAAGAAAATTGTGCTCTGCTCCAAAACACAGGTAAAAAACATAATGTCAGAGTGAAGAGGTTAAAAATTAACATTTTTCTAGTTGCATTTAGTGAAAATGTTTAATTTTCAAAATCAGTGAAACAAAGGTAGAATGCATAGGAATTTGAGACCAATTGGAAAGGAGAGTTCTGTCAAAGCCAACACTGAATCCTCTGGTTGACTGAAGAATGGTAGTGCCAATAACAAAAATTCATAATAGCATTTGAGAGACAGAGAGAGAGAAGTGCCACAAGGCAGAGACGGTTTCAAGAGAGGAAACGCTGACTTTAGTTTGGTTTGTGTTAAGAATGTCTGTCCATATGGAAATACACAAAAGGTGGCCAGGTTTGGTGGCTCACCCCTGTAATCCCAGTGAGGCAGGAGAATAGGGTTTGGAGACGAGGAATGTAAGGACTTTCTAGAACTAAATCACATGAAAACATTACAGCTATGACAGGAAATATCTTCTCCATTTACATAGGGAATAGGCTGAATACATGACTTTGTAACTTTACTTCATCCTCTTCACTTACATAGGGCATACACCAAGTAACCAATGGAAACCTCCAGATAGTATTTAAACCCCCCAAAAAATCTGTAACAGGACCCTTGAGCCCCTATGCTCAGGCCCACTCCCGCACCGTGGAGTGTACTTTCATTTTCAATAAATTTCTGCTTTTGTTGCTTAATTCTTTCCTTGCTTTGTTTGTGCGTTTTGTCCAATTCTCTGTTCAAGACACCAAGAACCTGGACACCCTCCACTGGTTAACACCGCACTTTGGGAGACCGAGGCAGGCAGATCACTTGAAGCCAGAAGTTTAAGACCAGTCTGGTCAACATAGCAAAACTACCAAAAATACAAAAAATTAGCCAGGTGTGATGGCATACACTGTAGTCCCAGCTACTTGGGAGGCTGAGGCAGAAGAATCGCTTGAATCAGGGAGGCAGAAGTTGCAGTGAGTCGAGATCGCACCACTGCACTCCAGGCTGGGTGAAAGAGCTAGACTCTGTCTCAAAAAAGAAAGAAACATATAAAAGGTAGCTGAAAATTAGAACTTACAGGAGCTATTCAAGCAGGTGAAAACAAGTTGGATATCATGCACAGCAACCTGATCACTGAAGCAACGCCCTAAACTGCAGATTCATGAAAACTAATAGATCACAGATAGGGAGGGAGTAGCAGCAGAATTCAGAGAGCTTGTTGAGACAGAAGCAGGGGGAAAGAATTTTAGGGAATAGAATTTGAAAGAGGAAAAAAGTAAACACAAAATGAGAAAAAATATTTTGGAAAAACAATACGTACCCACGTAAGAGATATAGGACAAGTTTGTAGAAGAGCCGATCAAGATAGCTTTATTAGTCCCTGGAAAACCTCTGAAACCACAAAAAAAAAGGAACAGAGAAATATATTTTTTAAATTGTGACATTATCCAAGACTGGATCTTGAGTGAAGAGCAGTAAAATATTAATGAGGTTACTTATGTTTTAGAAAATACATAGACTTTGGAAGCAAATATACCTGTGTTTGAATATTGACCTGGAAGACTTTGAATCTTGAAACTCTTTGAGCTTCATAGTTCTTTCTGTATAAATTAGAGAGGACTATACTTAGTTCACACAATTATTTTGAAAAGTTCAATGAATACAAACACATAAAATTCAAAGCATGCCGCAGGACACATAGTTGTCATTCAATAAATACTACCTCCTTTCAAGGATATAGGTACTATTAACCATACATTACAGATAAAGAAATTATAACATACAGTGCTTGTTCCCTTCAACTGATACTTACTGAGCCTCTACTATGTGACAAGGTATGGTTGAATTGCAAGGCAAATGGTCCTGCACAATCTTCTGGCAAAGAAAGGCAAATAATAAACAAAAAAGTAAATACAGATATCATATAAAGATGAGTGCAATTCAGAAAAAAAACTGCACGGTTTTATAAAGGTATCCGGGTGGCTAGCTTAGGTTAGGTTGTCAAAATGCTTCACCAGAGAGGTAAGAAGAAGGAATCAGGCAGCCTGTGAAGATTAAGTTGAAGGCTATTCCAGGAAAGGTCAACAGCCAGAGTAAAGGACTTAGGAAGAGTATGACGCAACTGGCACATCCAAGGAACCCAGGGAATGTTTAGTCCAGCTAAGGGTTTTCAGTGGATGAGGGGAAGAGAGGAACCAGGGAAGTCAGAGTGGCCAGATCACATAGGGCTTGGTAAGCCAGAGTAGCATGGGTGTTAGTCCACATGAAATTGGGCAGCATTGGAGTACTGTAAACGGGCCACTAAAATAATCTGATTTGTGTTTTTCAAAGATCCCTCTGACTACTGGGTGAATAATAGACAGCTAGGGGATAAAAACCAAAAGAGGAGACACATCAGGAGGTTATTGTGTTCACGTTTAGAGGAGAAACAAGGACTACTTAAGCAAAAGAAGTAGAGCTACAGAGGAGCAGCGGAAGATACATCTTTGGGGTATGCTTAACAGAACCTGCCACCAGGTTAGATGTGTGGGAAAGGTAAGTATCAAGGGTAACCCTTGGATTATTGTTGGGTACAAGTGACTGCCTGGGTGCCAATTAACAAGATCAAAAAGCAGAAAGTCGGGGGGCAAAGAGAGGACAAATGGGTGGAGAGAAGATGCTAGATACTCAATTGGATGAATATATCTTGAAAAGTTTTGAGGAGATTCAGAAACAGCAATTTAGAACAAATTTTAAACCACAGAATGGAATGAGAACTCTGAGGGAGAGTGTACAAAACTGGGAGAGAAGAAAACCCAGCATTCCCTCTGGGGCATGTCAACCTTTCGAGATCACACAAAAAAGGAATAGGAAACTGTGAAAGAGGAAAAGAATAGACAAGTAAAGCAGAAGGAAACTCAGAAAAGTGTAGAATCAGGCAAGCCAGGAGAGGAAGACGTTTCAACAAAGGGACCATTCTGTTCAGTGCTGAGATAATAAAGTATCTATAATAATTTTAAAGGTGAGTCCATTGAATTTGAAAGCATAGAAGTTATGAGTGACCTTCATAAGAAAAATCTTTGTGAAAGGATGAGAACTGGAGGCCAAATAAGATTTTGTATCATTTTCCTATACAGCAACATAGCCTAGGCATGCTCCATATATTAAATGTTAGACAAGGAATGACTTAAAATACTGTATTTATTTTCTTTATACAATTATGTTTAAATGTTTTTCATGCATAATTTTGTTTAATCAAAAATGTTTATATTCTACTTTAAATCTTTTTCTTTTCCTTATGTTTTCTACCTTTCATTCAACATCAGCTCTCCTCCACCACAAGGTAGCCCACATTGCAACGCAGTAGTGATCTTCAATATCTTTTCTGTGCCTAGTCTCATTTATGTACATAGATGCATACCTGTATACAGATATATAAGGCTTAGATTTTTGTCCATATATTGTTTTACCTAAATGGAATCATACCATAAATACTTTCTGAGTCTTGCTTTCCACTCACCTATATCTCACAGAAATCCTGAGTCAATCGGCATAGCTTAAATCCACTCTTTTTTAATGGTTGGGTTATATTCTAGATGTGAGTTTGCTATAATAAACATTCCTCTATAGACTAGCATTTACTTTGTTTTCAATCAAACATATGATGATTGGTGGTGCCAAAATACATCAAAACTTTGAGTATTATAATTCTCTTTATTTGAATGTTTATGTCTTTACCACATTTCTATTTTTATTTTAAAAATACCTGTGAACATTTACACATAAATCTTTCACAAATCTCTAATTCTTTTCTTAGGATAGATGCTTAGATATAAAGGCAAATGGCTTGGGCATAAAAAGTATTTGAAGAAATCTTGACAAACGATGCTAAATATCTTTCTAGGAAAGTAGAAATTTGTATTCTTACAGAAGATAAGAGTGTTAAGATCCCTGTTCCACGCCGTCAGAACTCATCTGAGCATTATCTGAAGCAACTATGCCATCACTGAGGGAAGATGCTTCATAACTCTAACAGAGGTCTGACAAGTGCCAAGGCTGATCTAAACAAAGCAGTCAGGAACACACTGGCTAGGATTCTCCTGACCTCTTCTTTGTTGCCATAGTTACCTTTATCAATAAATGACCAAAGATGTAACCGAGGCATTGTTGTCATAGTTCACTGGATGGCAACAAACTGTTGTTGAATAAATTAGTGTCCCAATTAAGAGTCTTTCCTATTTTTCAGCACCTTTCCAATCTGTAACAGGCATTTCCTTTCAAAACACTGACAGAGTAAAATAATGTGAACTTCGTTAGAAATGAGAATCCTTGGCATCAGTTTAAAATCTTGACACCCAGGAGAACGAAAATTGTAATTTCTATTAATTATCCCATAAGGTTTTGCTAAAAAAGCGTCTGTTTTCTAGCCCTGCACCTTGTATCCTAACCAAAATATAATTGTCTATGATTAAAGCCTGGTTGTCTGCCTTCCTGAATCTTGGGCATCAGAAGTCAGTTTTCTGCTGCTAATCTCCTTTTGGGACAGCTCTCTAGAAGAACTCTAGAAAAGTTTGTATTGCAGAGTCTTGCATGGAGTTAACTGGCAGACATTAAGAACACAAGATAAACTCTGTTGAGTCAGGCACTTTCGACTTTCAGAAAATTTTTCAATCTTTCCCCTGAAAATTAGGAGCTCTGGAAGGTTTTCCTTCCTATGGAAAATAGTAAAATGCTTAAAAACAGAACACATTTAACACAATTCCTTATTTGAATCAGATTTATTTAATAATCACAATCTAATTTTAGATAGTTTCTGTTTTCCAGAAAATGCAAGTTAGAGATCATTAGAGCAATTAGTACAAGATAAACTTTAGAATATTGCATTTGGCCAGACCAGATGTAAAATCATTAGGGAATAAACATAACCATGTTTCATAGAAGCCCAATATTCAGCCATTAGATGAGTTTTAGATCTGATGACATAATGACAGGCCTCATTTAAAAAGACTAATAACTTAGTGAAAACCATGTGTATTTCTACAACACTATTTGCATTTTACTAATTTAATCTCACCCATTAACTGAGGGTGCTGACATTTTAGCCAGTGTGAGCATGAGAAACAGATGACTCATGTATGATCTAAATGCACCACATCAAGATCACTAGTTGAGTTGTATTCAGAAGGGCTGAAATAATGTGTTATTGTCCAAAACACCATAGTCATATAAAAACAGGCAGTATAGCAGATACTTGAAAAAATATTTTTTGGATGAATAAGGGAAAATGTTAATATTTTACAGGCTATAAGTTGCTTTCATTTCCATTTCTTCAGCATCTGTTGTTACTAGGCAATGAACTAGTTTTTGAGATGCTAAGATAGATAAGATAGAGTATCTCTTTTTAGAAGCTAGCTTAATTCTAAACCCTGTAATCCAGGAATCATGAGTATTATTAAGCCATTTGTACAAGAGCTGAAAAGCAGTTAAATATGATCAAATGAACTGTCCAAGTCATGGAGTGCTAAGTGGGAACATTAGGTCCAATATTCAGGCTTTGAAACTCAGTCCAGTGTGCTTTATACTATCTTTCTCTAACCATCTTCCAAATTACTGTTTCTTTTTATGACAATATCATCAATGATCATATTTAAAATAAGACATTGAAAGGTTCAAATGCATTCAATGCCTCAGTTATTTGCATTTTGGTATAATGACAGACTGTCATGAATAATTTTTTTAACAGTACAGACACATTTACTTTGCATCTCCCATTGCTTTTGGCACGGCTGTTAGTTGCTCAATAAACATATAGTAAACAAGATTATATAGACGGTTTATTGTAAGTGTGTTGTAAACGTGCCAGATGGCATATTTAAAAGAGCAAACTATCCCCATGATCCAATTAGCACATAAACAATTAAGATTGACTTCCACCATAAAACTCAAATGTGTCCTTTTGTAATGCTGAGTACCATTCAAAACAAGTAGGTTATTATCATGTTCAAAATATATATAAAAATAACTGCATGACGTTTTCAGTTTTGCTGTATGAATAAATTCTGGAGATCTAATGTACAGCATGGTTACTATACCTGTATTACATATTTGAAATTTGCTAAGAGATTAGATCTTAAATGTTCTCACCAAAAAAATGTAACTATATAAGGTGATAGGTATGTTAATAAGCTTGATTGTGACAATCATTTCACAATGTATATATACAAAATATTTCACCTTAAATATATACAATTCTTATTTGTTAATTATCCCAAAATAAAGCTGGGAGAAATTCTAACACAAACAAAAAAAAAATAACTGTACATTGAGAGTTTAGATCATTCTGGTAAATCATCACAGGTTTACAAACTCAGAGCAAAAGGGAAATTCAACACTAACAAAAAAGAAAGTTGATATTCCACAGGCAGGAATTCTTACTTAAAATGTAAAATATAACGAATACTTTGTTTTTCAAGAGGATCAACTCCCCGTTGCACTGAAGCTGGGATCCCATGCCACACAAAGAGGCATAGAAGGGACCAGCATAAACCATGGAAGGTAGAAAATAATCCAATATCATTTTCCATTAAGTAAATTACATCATTGTCTATCTTGTAGATAGTCACAAA